GCGAATTCCTCTTGACCAGTTCTCGATTGGCTTTACTGGAAAATTCCCACCGACGCTGTTTCCGAGGCAATCTCCTTCGATTCATTCGATTCCTTCGATTCATTTTATTGCCTCGGAAACAGCGCCAGCATGAATCCTTCAGTTAAGCCAATCGACAGCTGGTCAAGAGGAATTCGCTGTCGTCTTCTGGTGGAAGCGACCTTCGAATCTCTTCACGCAACACTTCCACTCGAAATGAAAGTAAGCTAAACAATGCAAAATATGTTGAGAAAAATCGGCTATGCCATCAGCAATCAGTCTTTTGCCAGTCACGACCAGATCAAAGTCACAAAGTAGATCAGAATTGGGCGAGCTTTGAAGTTTTACAAAGCAAGTGAGCATAAAGTTGAAGACGAATTTGAGGATGGATAAAAAGGTATTAGTTTGCCTAGTTTAAATGGATGGTGCATAGTTGGCGATATGTTGTTCCACGCATTGATATTTGAGCCAAAAACGATCAGGTGCAGAATTTATGGCTAGAATTAGGCATTCTTGATAATCGAGAAAGAAGGTAATTTTCTCGGTTATTTGCACCCTCGAATAAAACCCGACTGGCAAATTTGGGGATGTACATCATACCGAAATTCATTGGCCGAGTAAAGTTGAATAGCTTCGAAAAAACTCAAAATAACTTTACTTCAATTACCTGTTATGGACATACAGCAATTGGAAAATCTAAATCTGGTTGGTGTTAAAAAGCGAAGCTTTCTCGTAAATTCGATGGCAAAAATTGAACAGAAAAAACTTCTCTCCAAATTGATGCTTGCAAAAGGATTGAATAGTGTTTTCTCGCAAAGTGAATGCCTTTGAGCATTTCGATTAAACCGTAGCCTACCCGTCCTGCGGCAAGTGAGACTGGCCAGGGCGTTAGTGGCGCCACGAAATGGCGCGAAGCGATACCATCCCGACCGCAGATCAACCGTTGAGTTGGCGGCTGCGAAAGTGCTTGTTGCTGCCGCTCGCTCGACTGTCGCGGAGGCCGTTTCTGCGGCGGCCACCATTCGGACCGGCTGACCGGCTGGCAACCGGTCGGGCTGCAAGTGCAGTCGGCGGTTGTGGAGGCGTCGCCAGGAGAACCCTGGCCACCGAAACCCTCTTCGGACCTCGATGACTGTCTGTGCAGGCTCAAGCATCGGAAGGCGCGAGAAGCGTCTGCTCCCTTCTTCTTCTTCCCTGAACCATCCGCTTCTGGCATTTCCTGCCCTGACAACCGCCAAGACGGTAGACCTGTCAGTCGGCTCGTGGGTTTGGGACGAACTTGCACCGAGTCATGCCTCCACGAGGCGGATGGCGTGGTATCCGGTCGGCTGATTCTTCTAGACGGCAGCCCGACTGAGGTCAGCGAGGGTGAGGAGACGGAACAGGATGCGCAAGTGGAAGTGGGCACCAAAGCGGAGGCGGAGTGGGAAGAAGAGGAAGCAAAAGAAGACGAAGCAGCAGCCCAGGAAACGGGTGCAGCGAAAAGTGTCGACTGTTTCTGGGCCGAATTCGCGTGGCTGCAGGAGTCGGGAGGAGTTGCCGGAAGACACCGTCTGTTGATGAAATGGTCTGCGGTGACGTCTTTGCACCGGGGCTCGAGGTCAGCATGACTCGGCGAGGTGGAGGATGGGCTTACGGCTGAAATGCTGTTGCTGGGATGGTTGGCCCCGTAGCTGACCTGTGGCGGCAACAATGCCTAAAGGAAATGTGACCATTTTAAAATGGGACAAAGTTGATTGTACTGAACCAGAGTGAGTAAAACTTGTTGGAAAATGTGACTAAAATATGTGAAACATGAGCAACTAAGACGAGGATCATTTGGAGTTAAGAAGTACACGATTCGTTTCAGTGACATTATCGTGAAAATTTGAGGTAAATTACGGAAAAATTATGGGTGTAATTTACAAGTCAACAGTGTCTAGGCCTTAAGGAATCAGTTAAGCTGGCTCTTTCCAAGTCCATGCGCGGTTGATGCATTTTAAGACAATTTAAGACAATTATTTAAAAAAGTTAATCAAATAATTGTTGAGTAGCTGATTTCGTTCTCTGTTTTTGTAAACAATCTAAGAGGTCACTTAATTTCTTTTATATTTATCTTCTTCTAATTATTTTATTTGGCGTTAGAGCTCAATAGAAAATTGTAGTTCAAAAATGTCTTTCTCTCCATGGCCG